GCCATTAGGGAAGAACTGTCGAATGTTCCAGTGGATCCCACAAACGGTTTCATACAGGGACAAGTTCTACGACTTCTACAAGAACATCGTGAAGATTTGGAAGAAGAACTGGAAGCTGTAACAACTGCAAGGATGGAAGAGGAAAGGCGAGTGTGCCAACTAAGGGTCTGTTCAGCACAAGCTGATGGTAGCGGTGGAGAAGAACAACTTCAAACTGTTACAGTCCCTCTCCACAAGGTGAGAATGGAAAAGGAAAAATGGTACGACTCGATGCTCGCCGAGTACAAATCCTTGACTGCAGAAACAAAAGCTATCCGACCAGTCAAAAGGTCCGAGATTGACCCTGAAGCCGAATTGGTGCCGGGGAAATTGGTCTGTGTGATCAAGGCTGGAGGGAGATACAAATGTCGCGCTGTGATCTGCGGCAACTTGGCATCACCGGAAGCGGATCCCATGCCTTCCTCTCTGCTGTATGCCAGTGGAGCGGACGGGGTTCTGATAAGGTGTGCATTGCGAAAGGCAGCTCATCACCAATGGGATGTAGCCACGACGGACATCAAGACCGCTTTTCTACTGGCTCCTCGGCCGGTGGAACAAGGTGCCAAAACCGTGGCGGTGGTGCCGCCCAGGATCATGACTGATTTTGGGATTACCCAACCGGATGAGGTCTGGCTTGTCGACAAGGCCCTGTATGGGTTTCAATCCAGCCCTGCCCATTGGGCAGTGTACCGCGACCAAACAATGCGGCGGTTCACATGGCAGGGAGATGCAAGCCCGGGGGAGATGCAGAAGGAGTACAAGCTGGAACAAACGCCGGAAGGAAATTTGTGGAGAATCCTGTGTAAAGGTGGTGACGCTCCGGGAGAAGAAGTACGTCCTGATGGATATCGGCAAGTGGGTTTGGTGGTCGTCTATGTGGACGATCTTATGGTTCTTGCGGAACCTCACGCCAAACACAGCTTCTTGAAGAGGCTGAAGGAAGAATGGACTTGCTCCACTCCTGAAGAAGTTGATCACAAAGGCTGGGTTCGATTTTGTGGGTTCGAGCTCCAATGGAGCGGTCAAGGGGATCACAAGAAGTTGAAGGTGGGACAGCAGTCCTACACTCGGGATCTGTTGAATCGACATCAAGTAGAACACCCAAGACCGGTTCCGATGACGAAAGCGGATGCCGAACTTCCGGAAGAAGAACAACCAGCACTTGAAAACATCCGACAAGCTCAAACGGTGGTGGGCGAGTTGTTGTGGTTGTCCATAAGGACAAGGCCGGATATCAGTTTCGCCGTCAGCCAATTGGGAAGACAGGTGAACAAACGGCCCAAATGGGTGGTGAAAACCGCACAACAGGTGTTTGGTTACCTGAAGGGAACCGAAACTCAACATCTCAGCTATGGGGTTTGCACAAGTGATGATCGTGGTCCCGAAGATGATCTGCCATTTCACCGGGAGATGCAGCAAGTCGAAATGTTCTCGGACATTTCATTTGCCCCTGCGGGCGAAAGATCACTGCAGGGTATCCTAGGTTTTTATGGTGGAGGGTTGGTTCAATGGGAAGCCAGCCGTCAAGCTTTTGTGGTGTTGAGCACCGCCGAAGGGGAACTGATGTCCTACTTGGAATCCATGGTCATGGGAGACTCTCTGGCGTCTCTCATAGAGGTCGTGGAAGGACGGAAAATCGGGCAGAAGATCATCTACGGAGACAACACGGCTGCAATAGCCATCTTGGAAAATCCTGACGGTCCGTGGAGGACTCGGCACTTGCGGTTGCGAGCAACAGCCCTAAGGGAAAGGTTAAAGGATGGTAGTTGGATCATCCGTCACCTTCCAGGGGTAAAACTTGTGGCCGATTTCCTGACGAAGATCATCGCTGTGAAGCCCAGTTGGGAAAGGTTCTGGAGGTTCGTCAATCACCAAGGCTCCGGGGTTCCAAATGAGGAACCATCAATGGGGTCCAACCGTCGTGAAGAACAACCTCTGGGAGAAGAACAACGTCCAGAAGAACCAGACCAGGAGACTCCCTCCTGGGACAACTACCGAGATATCGCTGGTCGGTGCGTATCAGTGGTGAAAAAGGTGGTTGGTCTGGCCGAGGAATATCCAGAACTAGCCGATTTCCGGCATGAAGCCCTGAGCACTGCCATTGGAAGGCTAGTGCAAGTACTGGCTGATGCGTATCGCGTCACTGAATCCGTGGTCAAGGATCGGTTCCAGTTGGAGTCGGTCTTACCGTTTTTGGAGAAGAAGAACATTCCTGGACAAGTTGAACACCCTGTAGAAGAAGAACCTAGGGGTATTCTAAAACGGGGTACTAGGTCCAAAAGGGGTAACCCAAAACCTAAACGGGTTTATTTTTGGGATGAAAATCCACCAGTTTTGAAAGTTTTGCGGGTACAAGATCACCACGGTCATGTTGCCCAATTGCACAGTTATGAAAAAGAAGAACCCATCCCTAAGACCATCCTGGGTGATGGACAAGAGAAACATTGGGACTTGGATTGTGCCAGGTCCGATCGAAAAGAACATCGAGCTGCCGAAGTGGTACCAAGGTCGGGTTCCACAGAACCGTGGGATCTGGTTGCAACTTGGGGAATTGGGTTTTTGGGGAATTCTAATGTGGTAGGTAAGGGGAAAAACCATCCTGAAACCTCAAAGGGGATAGCTCCGCAACCAACGGGATTTAAGTGTTTTTCCGTTAGGGAATTGGGGTTGTCCGCAGCAATTTATTTTTCCAAAAGTTTTGGGCTCAAAAGCGTCCTCGTCTGCCTTGCTGCACCAGTGACAGCTATGGACGGTGAAGATGTTTCGCAAGGCGTCTTTGGTCAGTTTTTTGGCATACTTTATGCCATGATGGTCATCCTGGTGTGGGAAGTTTTCCGATGGCTTATGAGCCATTTGACACTCCTGGTGGTTCCTCAGTTCAATCGACAAATGGTGGAACAAGCTGAACTGATGGTGAAGTTGGCCCTGAAAGATCGAGAAAAAGATGTACGTGGGGGAGAAGGTCATTCCACGGCGGCGCCAACTGTAGAAAAAGATGAACATCAGGAAGAAGAACCACGTCCGGGAGAAGATCATCGAAAGGAAAAAAGAAGAAAAACCGAAGAGAGGGATGCTGATCGCGCCCATGACAAAAGGGAAAGGGGAAGAGACCGTCGGAGACGGGGTGAAACAGGGCGATCTAGGTCGCCACACAGGGAAAAGGAATCGACAACAAGGCGATCGGAGAGTGAAAAAAGCCCTGGCCCTTCTACAGCCGAATCGCGAGGTTCGGAAAGGGTCCCAAAGGGACCGATAGCTCCGCTGCCAGAGGGTATGAAAGCCCCTGGGAGACCGCCACCGAAAAAACCGTCGATGCCAACTCCCAAGGAAGAGGAAAAAGTACCCACCGATGATGAAGGGTGGGGAAAATGGAAGGAACAGAGAGAAGGAGAAAAAATGGCTGATTACCTTGCAAGGATGAGATCAGTCTATGGAAAGGCAATACCTGCAGAGCCAAAGGAAAAACCTGCAGAAACGACCCGAGCCTCCTCCTCTAAGGCAGCTCCTAAGGCAGCGGCTTACTATGAAGTAGATGGAGGAGAATGGTATTGGTGGGATGGTGCATGGGGTGACAAATGGGAACCGAAAAAGAAAAAGAAGAAGAAGAACAAATACACCGAGGCTGAATGGGAACAGTGGTACAAGGAGCATCCGGAGGAGGACACTGAGTCTTCCCAGACACCAAGAAGGCCAGCAGAACCGGAGACTCCGCCACCGGCCCAAAGACCAAAGATTCGTCCGGGACAAGATTTAATTCGACGTCCTGAAGACCCAGCCAGCTGGACAGTCTACATGCCTGAGGTGGTCATGCGTGAGGTGGAATATATCATCTCTGGAGAGGGCACAGCATGGATGACAAAGCCGCCGGCCGTAACAGGCTTTGAAGAACAGGGTCAGGCCATTGACATGTGGCATGTTCCAGCCCCTGGGGACTATGGAAGAATCATCACAAGAATCCATTACAAATGGAGACAGAATTCATTTCATCCAGATCACCCCACTTTACCGAAAAAGGTCGACCAGTTGGATCCTTACCGGGTCACATTTTTGTGGAATACCCTGGACAGCAACGAGCGAAAAATAACCTTGGATTTTGACTGGGAGACCAAGTGGGTCGAAGACAAGTGGGTGGGATACACCGTTTTCCTTGTCAAACAAGACCCAAGAGATGTGGCGAAAAGCTCACCCAAAAGGAAATAGGTCACACGGAAAAGTACATCGGTGGCTGGAGAAAAAGATCAATAAGACCCAAGGAAAAGATCATTAGCTGCCGGTGGAAAAGACCAATACAGGGAAAAGCTCATCAGCTGCTGGACCCAAAGAACACCGTTGGGCGCTCTTCGAGGACAGCGCTGGTGAGAGAGGGAATTCAAAACCTACGAAGTTAGGGCTGTAGTTTTTCAATTTTTGGAGTCAACCCGAAGTGGAACTCCACGCGACCCTTGGATGAAGGGGGAACCAACACCAGCCTGGGACTATGGCACACGAGGGTCTTCGCCCTTCTGGCTGGGGGAAGGGCGAGTTCCCAGAGGAAACGTGGCCACCCCTGAAGCTTTTGTTTTTGGTGTTGGGGAACCTGGATTCCTGCAAGCAGGAAGGGGGAGTGCGGTTTGGGAAACATGCACAGAGTACCACTGCACCCCCACTAAGGTCTTTTTAAAGTTTTCACAGTCGTTGAGACGTCCTCCGACTGTTGCAACATGGCTCAAGGGCCAATCAACTGACTGGCTCAAGATCACCGAGCCCAATCTGGAGTGAAAAGGTGCGCCAGCATCTGCCTCTTGGTGGGGTTCTCCGGGAAGGGTCTCGGTCATAGTCTGAAACCCGTGGTATCAAATTACAATATGTTGACGTTGATGGTGAAATTCCAAGATACCATCCATTAACCATCCATTAACCAAATCTGCCGCGGTTGATGTTGAAACTTCACCAAATCTACCGGAGCTCTGAACCTTGGTCAGGACCTACAACTCTTGGCGCAGCGCTTTGGTTCTGAGTGTCCTGGCCGGAAGGGATGGAAGGGACGGAAGGGACGGAAGGGACGGAAGGGACGGAAGGGACGGAAGGGACGGAAGGGACGGAAGGGACGGAAGGGACGACGTGAGCATGCGTGGTAAATGGGAAGAACCGCCAATTAGTATATTTCCGGCTCGGAGGTTCTTATTCTTCTTGCAGGGGTTATATTCCAACTGACAGGGGTGACAGGACCATGGTGTTATAGCCATTTATAATGCCGGGGTAAATATTATTTTTGATCAATAGTATATAACAACACCATGGTTTTTGATCATTTGATCAATGGCATTATAATCCCAGGTCCATTTATTTTTGATTGGAGGTGATTTTGGTCCAGCATCAGCCACCAATGGCAACGAACACGGAGGTGTTTGACCGCGATCACAGAATGGATGTGCATCAAAGTTATATAGTCAGTGGTTTAGAAGCCCCAGATAAGCCATATGTAACTGAGGATATTCCATATGTGTATATATATATATATGTATAGATAACATACATATACACACACATATATATGTATATTATACATGAATAAATAAATGAATAAATAAATAAGTAATATATATATAAGTGGGATATCATGAATAGTCAGTCATTACCCCCTTACTGGGATGCCCCAAGTATTCCGACCTGTCCTTTGAGGTGCCTGGAGAGCTTCGACAGCGATGAAGCCATGGTGAATGTGGACCTGTTCTTGGACGCCTTGCGGGGTGAGATGCTGGGACAGCAGGTGGCTTTCAGCTGGGGGCTGTCACCAGAAAACATGGGTTTTCAACTGCAATCATCCACAATCCAGAAAGGGATCCCAAGAAGAATGGAGAGATGTTCTCTTTTTCTTTTAACATGTAGATCTGTTAAACTATACATCAAACACCCCGGGGATAGAAGACGGCAACAACGGCTATATTTATATATCACCACCGCATCTTCCCCCACTGAGGATGTCTGTTGGTCGGTCTCGGACGCTGGATCAACTTTACACTCTGCTGCTCAAGCAGGCCAACAGAAAAAGGGGGTTGGTGATTTCAAGTGTATTCAATCTGCAACACATCTATATATGCGCACACACCATATATATATATATTTACAGTTATATACGTACATGGCATATGTAAATGCATCTGTATAAATATATAAGAATGAACTCATTTTCGATTTTGCAGACATGCATACTTATATATTTAAACAGCTATACACACACACATATATATATATATATAGATAGACATATAGATATAGATATAGATAGACAGACAGATAGATATAGATATAGATTATATATATAGATAGACATATAGATATAGATATAGATAGACAGACAGATAGCTAGCTAGCTAGATATACATGAATAAAATATAGATGGGACTGGGAGAGAGAGAGAGAGAGGTTGGCAGATTGGCAAGTGGATTCAAGTGGTCTCTGGACAGGTAGGAAAGCCAACGGAGAGCCTACCAACAAGCTGGATCCAATTCCATCTGGAGTGGCTTGGGCAAAGTTGGCTTCGTTTCTGAATGGGTAAATGATAACGACTTCACCACCGCATCACTAGAAATGATTGTTAGCAAGGGGGAATAGTGAAACAGTTTCCTGATTTCAGGCTGGTGAATTTTGAGTTACAAACCCATATTATATATACACACACATATACATATATATATATATTTACACATACACACAAATATATATATATATATAGACATGCATGCGATCAGTAAATGGAGTGAGGCAGGAGGACACCACTAGCTCCATGTCCGGTCCCGGTGTCGTGCACCGTGCCGGTGTCGTGGCCCCAGGAAGATTGCCGCGCAGCGCATCAGGCGGCGTTTTTAGACACATAGCAACCCCCGAAAAAGGAGGGAATTTTAAAAGTCATTTATCCCTATTTTAGTGTTTTATCCTCTATTTTTTATTATATCACATAATGCACACACACAGATATATATATAATTATATATATATATGTATATGTATCAATGTATCAATGTAACTTGCATTGCGCTCCGGGTCACATTTTTCTAAAGACTTCTTTGAGAAGATGCTGCTGGTATCGCATGAGAAGCCCGGTAGGCCCAGAGAGCTTGGCCAGTTCCCACCGGAGGATCTCATGGCCGCTTTGTCCCTTGGCGGGTGAGGGGATGAACATCCAGCGCCAGCGGTGCCAACAGCAGGATATATACCAGGGTTTGACCATACAGTACATATGCCGGTAGTTGCTGATACCCTCTGGTAAACTAACATCGCTATGGAAAATGGCCCATTTATAGATGGTTTACCTATTAAAAATGGTGATTTTCTATATCTATGTTAAATTACCAGAGGGTACTTCACTGTTTAGCCATCAAAAATACCACTGTTGATTGATTACTATACGTTTTGCAGAACGTTGCCAGCAAGATGTAGGTGAGGAGAGCAACAGGTTTGCACAGTGGGAAAGCGTTTGAT